ACAAGAGGCCCAGGGACCAACCCACGAGCCACCGTTCAGCCTATCTTCCTTCATCCTTAAAACGATGGAGAAACTAGTAGGATAATACCTCAAGAAAAAAACCTCCACACCAACCAACAGGCAAACCAAAAGGGACGCTCTACGGAGACTGCCCTTCATATCCTCAATATTGAGAAAAGTATGCTGGACAAAGAATCGATTTTAGTCTGTTTCATGGACATTGAGGGGACATTCAACTGCCCCACATATGAGTCCATTGATGAAGCAGCAAGAGACAAAGATATCGACCTGTGAACAAAGCGTTTCATAGAAAGCAGGGCGATTAAAATCATATTGGGATGGGAAATTTTCAGTATTTCAAGCCGAGGTTATAGCTATAAACAAGTGCGCAGAGGTCATTGCGACCAAAGGGCTACTGAGTGCGCACATTTACATCTGCTCGGACAGTTCTCAAGGCCGTAGCAGTCTTCTTCCTGACCTTCAAGCCGGGTGTAATCGTGTTACCTTGGTGTGGGTACCAAGCTATAAGGGGATGACCGGTAATGAGGAAGCTTATCGCCTCGCTAAGACAAGCACAAAACCCCAAATTCAACCGGAACCCTTCTATAGTGCACCAGCTGATAAGAAATCAGATCAGAAAAGGGTGGTTATTTATCCCTAAATGTCCTCTCTGCCAGGGAGAACATTACAGTGGAAACGTCTATGGGAATCTGCCCCTGCCCGCTTGATGGAGGGTGGGATTGGTTAATCCTCTTGCCTTTACAAATATAGACGATAAACGCGTTATTTCTAAAGGAATCCGAGTTTTTAAATTTTCGTTGCAGATCATGATCATATCATTGAGTGATATAGTGGAACGACGCATTTATGCTGTAATTTGCTCACTCATACTCCCATCCCGCACATTACCTACCAGCGAATATCAGTTGAACGATTTTCTGTTGTCTTCTGCGTATATGGCCCATGATGTTAAGAAATATACAGTGTCATCGAGATAAGAGGGGTCACCTCAATATCTCTTTTATTTGACAAGATACGATTTATTTTAACCGGAATTGGAGGAAACTTTTGCTTTTCGGTAATTGGCAACGGTTTAAAGTTTTAACTTTGATTTAAAAAAACTTGACAGGTGGCCTCACGGTGCGGTTGACCAACTTTTTCCGAAAAACGACACACCCTTTAAACTTCCCACAGAAATATTCTGAAAATGGCGAACTGCTTGTTCAATCAATCAAATCGAGCGAACAGCCCAAGTAAGTAAAGAGACATACACTCTTTCCTAACCGTCGCGAACCAGCCCCGTTTTTTCGTTGTTGGCAGTATTTAATGAAACACCCCCTCCACCAAACAAAAAGCTCGCTTCTGTTATTTAGAAACAAAATGCGCTAATTACAATGAGCCTTGATAACGCCACCTTGAAGTGGCCTGCGATGAATTGAGTTATCTACGTTTTGTCCAAGTTGTGAAACTTGCGCCTCTTTTGCTTTCTGGTCCATAACTGTCTTGGTTCCCATTCTCTTTGCCATTCTGACCTATGTCAGGACCATTCCTTTGCTCCCCCGAGGACTATCACAATTCCAGGTAACTCTTGCTGCCTTCTCTGCCTTTTCGATATGTCATATATTCCAGGCTTCTATCTAGTCTGATTCATAGTATTTCTATTGTCTCTCCCAGCGGAATCTCGACTCCTCCCACCCGTACGCTGGGAAAGAGGGGCCTCATCCTTCCGGTAATCACTGCAGCGTTAGTTTTAGCACCTAACTTGCGGCTTCATTCGCAAGCAAGCTTTGTACATGACCCCAGAATTTCGCAACGTGCTTTATAATTGAGGTTTGATGGTCATGTCGAAACTAAGTCCATACCCTTATTTTTAAGAATTAAAAAAAGTGCTATTGTTTGCGTTTTGTCCGTCCGTTCGGACCCACTTCTGCCGTTTCGAACTACTTCTAGGGGAATGGTCCTATGTCTAGTAAAAATCTTGAAAAAAGACTTCCGTTATGAGTCTAGACGCAAATCATATTACTTTTTGGTAACTGGTGTTTTTTTACTAATTCGACCCTGCTGAATAAAAAAATGCCGGTTGCCAACCCCTCCTCTCCCCCCTCCCCCCCCTTTTCCTCACCGAAGTGTCCCTCGCCGTGGTTTTTTCCATTTTACAGGGAAACGGTTACAGATAGGAGCAAATTGTCTAATAAGAAGTTAATCTACATTAAATTTCCTAAACAGCAACACCAAATTTATATCGATACGATAAGTAGTTTTTGAGATACAGCCTTCGACATTGCATGAAAAGGTGAAAAAAAACATTTTCTTTATCTTTCTTCTCGATTTTGAGAAAAGTGACAGGAGTTATGAGAAAATTATCTTCAGATATTTAAGAGCATATGAATTTATCTAGAAAATGACATCTAATTCATAGTCGTGTGAACAATGGTTCATCTTAGTGGGTCCACCCACGAAGAAGCAGACACAAGGATGGTTCTTCATACAGTTCACGCCGAAGCCGACAACGCAGTTGTTTTAGTTAGAGACACCGACGTGCTATTGCTCTATGTACACCACTTCGCAAAAATGAAACCTTCAAAGGTTTGGATTATGAGTGGTACAGCAAGAGACCGCAACTTTATTCCAATCCATGACATTTGTGAGAAATTGAGTCCTGAACAGAAGCATAATCTCTTGGCATTCCATGCCATCACCGGGTGCGATAGTACCTCAAAGATTGCCTCAATAACCAAAAGAAATGCATGGAAGTTCTTTAAAGGACATACCTGTTCTCTACTTGAAGGCCTCGGATCCATCCCTTTGACCGACCAAGTGGTTGCAAACGCAGAGGAGTTTGTCATCCAACTGTACAAGGTGAATTTTTGTAAAAATGTGACACTTTTGTGCAATCTTTGAACATTTCTTTAATGTTTCTTTTCGTTACTAACAGGTTAGCACAGAAATTAAAACAGGAGACGCCGCTCGGAGCTTTTTGTTCGGAGCTGTAAAAAGTCCTGAGAAATTGCCTCCAACCTCTGACGCCTTACGCCTACATATTCGAAGATGCCACTACCAGGCAAGTACTTAAATCAAATATGGAAATTGGATTCTGTATTATTATTTAACATTTATAAATTTTTCTGTCTTAGGTATACGTTTGGGAGAACGCCCATATCGCCAATCCTAGCGTTCCTTGTCCCGAGAACTGTGGCTGGAGAGTTGACGGCACTACAATAGAACCGATTCTAATGACGTTGCCGCCTATACCCGCATCCTGCAATGCTCTTCGTGCATGTGGTTGCAAGGGAATGTGCCAGACAAATCAGTGTCGATGCCGAAAAGAGTCACATCCATGCATGAAGATTTGCAATTGCCGCGCTTTATGCTTAAATTGCATTAAATAACGTTTCTTGTTGACCTCTGTGTGATATATGCATGTTTTCTATTTTAACAACCTGAATTTGAAATACCAAGAAAGTGCTCTTTTTCACATTCAGATGTTTTAGAAGAAATTTGTTCATTATGATGAGTTAAACTCCTAGTACCTAAATATTTTTCTTTACATACTGCATGGAACAGCCGGAAAGTGTACGATGCGCATCCGGAGCACCTCTACGCGGTAAACTCTAACTCGAGAACCATTGTTCACACGACTATGAATTAGATGTCACTTTCTAGATAAATTCATATGCTCTAAAATATCTGAAGATAATTTTCTCATAACTCCTGTCACTTTTCTCAAAATCGAGAAGAAAGATAAAGAAAATGTTTTTTTTCACCTTTTCATGCAATGTCGAAGGCTGTATCTCAAAAACTACTTATCGTATCGATATAAATTTGGTGTTGCTGTTTAGGAAATTTAATGTAGATTAACTTCTTATTAGACAATTTGCTCCTATCTGTAACCGTTTCCCTGTAAAATGGAAAAAACCACGGCGAGGGACACTTCGGTGAGGAAAAGGGGGGGAAGGGGGGAGAGGAGGGGTTGGCAACCGGCATTTTTTGATTCAGCAGGGTCGAATTAGTAAAAAAACACCAGTTACCAAAAAGTAATACGATTTGCTTCTAGCACTTCATTATTTCCAATTCTGGTCTAGTCTTCATGGTCTCATAGAGTCAAACAGTTATTTATGTTTATTCGAATCCTTTGTGCGATCCGGATAGAGTTTTCATGTCACATTTTTTCTATTGGTGCCCAAGATTTGTTTCAGGTGTTGATCAAAATTTGTGTAATAAATTCTTTGGAACTGTCTGAAGTTGATGGAAGCCACCGCGTCTCTCGATTTGGGAATATTAGGATTTTTCTTATAGCAGATGCCGGATGTCAAAACTATCATTTGCTTTTTTGTTCCTTGTTCTGCTTTTTTGAAAGTATTGTTGGGTTTTCTTAAAGAGACGCATCTACGTTTTTAAACAAGATTTGACGGTTAACAAAACACTGGCAAAAATGTAGAAAATTTACTGTTACCCAGAGGAAGAAACAACTATAGATTGGGTATGTAGAAAAACTCAATTTCAAAAATTAAAAAAATTCAAAGAACGCGAATTTAAGAGAAATTCACAAAAAAAGAAATACTTCGTAAAATTAAAACAATTTGGATTCGGTATGTAAGGAAATTGCAGCATAAATCCGCTGGTCCACGATATTGTCCAAAGGTTTGATCATGGTCTGCAACCGACGCCTTCGGATACAGCACGCGTATTGTCTATACCGCCGATAGCTTTCCGAATTTGTTTCCCTATTGTGTACGTGAATAAGAAAAAAAACAAACCCCAAGAGAAGTATTCTGGAGCGTTCTTCGTACATTTGCCTTTTCTTAGAAACGAAGCGCCGCCTAAAAAAGTGATCTCCATCCTTACCAGTGGGTGGTGGTGATGAATGGGTTACAAAAATGTCCAAGTAACGCTTATGGCAATTAAAAGTGCGTGTAAAGTTCCCAAGAGATTGAAATTTAAGACACCGGCGGGAAATTGTACGTGTGCGCACTAAGAATAAAATTAACATTAATTGTTACCTGTAAAAGTATGAGCAGCCTCTAACTGAATTATGTGAAAAGTGTTCGGCATTATTTTCGTTACCAAAGTCTTCTAACGGATCCGACCAAAGCAAATCGCACATTGGACCGAACGCCGGCGGTTCCTTAAATCGGTCTAACTGCAACAAAAGGAAAAATTCTATTAAACCTCTTCCCGACATCAGCATAGGTAAGTTTGCACTTAAAGAGGATAAACGCCGGCTCCATTATTTCTACAAGAGCGCTGCAGCGCCCTCCACCTAACAGCGCACTTAGCAATAATCCAAAGCTGAATAGGTCAAGCTGCGATTAAAATTTTCATGTTTCCGTTTTGCGTTGTTGTTGATGTATATAAAGAAGCGCTCCGGAGTTTCTTTAGGCTTACTGCCTCCTTTATGAATATTAAATCACGCAACATCTTAAGAGAAAATGAAATTCGTAACGGGGTTTCTCTTACGCGCATGCATAAATAAAACACTTGACGCGGAAAACATATTAATGAAAAAAAGGTTTGACGAACAGTTTTATCGGCGCGGTTTTGGCTCTTCGGGTCTCGGACGGAACTTAACTTTAATTACAATGCTAAATCGATTTTCGTCTTATCCTACTGCTACGACCGCAACCCTCGCCCTTCGTTTCCAAATCACCCGACTCTGCCCGCAAGCGAAAGATACGATTGTACAATCAAAATTATCATCTCATGTCGATTTCGTTTGATTGAAAAATGCCATTTGAATGATACCCTTTGTGCTTTTGACAATTTTAATACATCAACATTTGTATAGATTTTGATATGTTTAAAACTGCATTTTAATGGCGCTTAATAAAAATATACATGACTCCATATTTGTGAATTATCTAGTAAAAACATTCTAATGGCGCATATTTGTCAAGTCTAAGGCTTCGACATAGAGCGCAAATAACGCACAGTTGCCGCTTAAAAAGTGTTAAGATTCGATTTAAATCAGGTTATGCGCATATTACAAGCATAATCAGAGCTGCCACCTTTCTCTCTACGCAAAATTTCGTGCCATAGCGCACAATAATTGTTACAATATCAAGAATTGTCAGAATCGAGTGCTTCCAAACGTTACTTTGATATCCGAGCAGAAAACGGCGTAAAACCGACGCTTAATAGCGATTAGTCACTAGATATAGAAAGTACCGCAATCATCCGCCATTTTTGGGCAAATTTGCTGCCAACTTAAAAAAATTGACTAACAAAATCTGAATAGCTGTAATTTTTTATAACCTAACTTCACAATACTGTCATGTTTTATAAAAATATATACAGATATCTCCAAACAGGTGGAACAATCCCTAACATTAAAGTTACTAGAATTTGGTAACTTCCGTCATCTTTGGGCAAAAATCATGCGTTCTCTCTCTAACACACGAGCCCAATGGATTGCGGTACTTTCTATATTTAGTGACTTTAATAGCGATGTGTTTACGGCGCCCTCTAGAGTCTAGGAGTGATCACAAACTAGGAACGGCATGACGGTTTACAAAGCCAACCTTGTCTTGGCGAGCAGAGGTTACTTCGATCTATCCAGTTTCAGAGCGTAAAACGGCGCACAATTGACGCTGAATACAAAGATTTATGGCGTCCTCTAAAAGTGTTCAGCAAGGGGTGAACAAAGCCAACAGTTATCTTGGCGTGCAGAGGTTACTTCGATCTATCCAGTACAAAGGATATCAATGGAAACGGATAACGATCAAATCGGAGCGCAAAAGGGCGCCCAATCGACACTTAATAAAAATATATATGGCCTCCTCTAGGAAAGCGATCACAAACTAGGAAGGGCGTGAGAGTTTACAAATAAGCTGAGTTTTCATTATCATATATCACTCAATATCGAGCATACGAAGTCGCAGGAGAAAATCTGTTCTAATAAATATGACTGAGCTCGTATACACCACTGAAGGTCAATAAAAGTTAAAAATTGGGTCATTAACCTTGGATGACCTTCAAAATGAAAATTGACACTTTAAAAGAAGTTATTGACCTTAGATCAGCGGTTCCCAAATGGTGTTTCGCGGTTCCGCGAAAGATTCACGAGGGTTCCATGAGTAACAGCCGCAACAACTACAATTTTTCACGTTTAAAGGCACACTTTATTAGTTGGAATTACATATACCAGCTAGACTAGTTTATTTCCCTTCAAAGGCTGCCCTTTATAGTGTGATACTTGTTCAATATAACGGAAAATTTTGCACTGCGCATGGTTTCACGCGCAACTGGATCTTGAGATGCAAAGTGCATTATGTTCAGTTGAGTTGAATCAGCCATTTAGTATCAAGTCTTAAAAATTAGATATAGGAAAGATATATTTAGTGTTTTTGTTCACACGTTAATTTGGAAAAAAACTCCAAGTCCATAAAATTTGGGAGTGCTAAAAATGCATGTTAAAGACCTTATCATGTTATTATGGATTACTTTGGTGCCAAATCCCAACACAAACAATAACTGTTTTGTAACAATTGGTAGCGCTACAACGGCGTCTTCGAGCTCCAACTTGTCAAAAATTTTCCGGGGGGTACCCCCGGACCCCCCCACTTTCCTGGGGGGTACTTCCCTGGTTGGTATTACACCTGTCAAAACATATCACCAACAACTCATTGGGGTTCCGCCAAAACAACCATCATTTAGGGTGCCTTTTCCAAAAGTAATTTGGGAACCGCTGCCTTAGATGACCTTAAAAGTAAAATTTGATACAGCAAAAAAATTAAGTCATTGTTCCAGGATAACCTTGAAAATTAATATTGCTCCGCAATTAGAGGTCATTGAACTACGAACCCTTTGAAAATAAAAATGAATGTCATTACAAAAATTGTCAACCATGCAAATGTAATTTGACACCATAAAAATGAGGTCATTAACCTTGGAGTACTTCAAACGTGTACCGCAAAATAGGATCATTGACCTCGTATGCCTTTGAGAGTGTAATTATAGGCACCACAAAAGATAAGGTCATTGAACTTCTATAACCTTTAAAACGTAATTTTGACATCACAAAAACTGGGTAGATGACCTTGAGAATGACACCACATAAAAATGAGGGCATTGACTTTGGGGCTGAATTTGAGAATGTAATTAACTACATAAAAAACGAGGCCATTGACCTCAGATGACCTTGACAATATAATTTGACGCGGCAAAAATAGCCGTGTGAGTATAACTAGACCCAACACAAAGAGGTCTTGAAAATGCTATTGGATTCAGCAAAAAATTGAGTTCATTGACCTCGGGAATATAATTGGACATCAAAAAGGAGAACATTTACCTTCTGATTTTGAAAATGTGATTTGACACCACAAAAAATGGGTTCATTGTCCTTGGATGCCCTCGAAAATGTAATTCGACAGCACATAAACATGCAGTCATGACACTGTCCATTGACCATTTTGAGATAATTAGGACCACAAAGATAACTATTGAATTCCTTAACGATTACATGAAAAAAATGGGCATGCCTCGATGCCTTGAAAGTATTAACACCACAATTCGGGCATTAACCTGGGATTAGCTCTTGAAAATGCTATTTGATCCAGCAAAAAATTGAGTTCATTGACCTCGAGAATGTAATAAGACATCAAAAAAGAGAACATTTACCTTCTATTATCTTGAAAATGTAATCTGACACTACAAAAAATGGGTTCATTGTTCTTGGATGACCTCCAAAATGAAATTCGACAGCACATAAACATGATCTTGTATGCCAATGAAATTGTAATTTGACAACATAAAAATGAGACCATTGAAAGTGTCATTAACACCACAATTGGGGGCATTAACCTGAGATGACCTCGAACATGTAATTTAACACAATGGGGTCAATGACCTTGAAAATGTAATTTGACGCCCCAAAAAATGCAATACAACAGCTTGCCCTTTTACCGCGATCTACTTTCCAAGGTCATCGCATACGTAGCACGCTACTTTCACCTTGACCTAATTTCCAAGGTCACTGCTACGTGACCATGGGTCACCACCAGGGGGCACGCGACTTTGTAACATGTAATTTGACGCCGCAAAACTTAGGGTCACTTGATCCAGCAAAGAAATGAGTTCATTGACCTTGAGAATGTAATTGTACCTTCTATGATCTTGAAAATGTAATTTGACACCAAAAAATTGGGTTATTGTCCTTGGATGACCTTTAAAATGTAATTCGACTGCACATAAACATGCAGTCAAGGACCTTGTATGCCATTGAAATTGTAATTTTACAACATAAAAATGGGACCATTGAAAATATTAACACCACAATTGGGGCATTAACCTGGGATGACCCAAATATGTAACTTAACACAATCCAACCCTTGTTTTGTCGTGCATAGGTTCGTATCCAGTCCGATAGATGTCAATGAAAACGGATAACGTTCAAAACCCATTACTTTCATATAAAGGCGTAAAACGGCGCACAATTGACGCTTAATAAAAAGATATACAGCGCCATCCAAGAGTGTTCACAAACTAGCAAGGGAGTGACAGTGAACAAAGCAAACAGTTATCTTGGCGCGCAGAGCTCACTTCGATCAATCCAGTACAATCAATCAATCAATGGGAACAGATAATGTTCATATCGAAGCGCAAAAGGGCGCATAATCGACGCTTAATCAAAAAAAAATTTTGAGTCTAATTCAGAAAATGGTGTTGCATACTTGATCCAATAAATATGACTGAGCTCCATTGAAGGTCAATAAAGGTTAAAAATTGGGTCAATAACCTTGGATGACCTTAAAAGTAAAATTTGATACAGCAAAAAAATTAAGTCATTGAACGCTGATTGAAACTGAAATATGACAATAAAAATAGTGTCATTGATCTCTGATGACATTGAAAATAAAATATTGCCTCGCACAATTAGAGATCATTGAACTTCGATGACGAAAATAAAATTAGATGTTATTACAAAAATTGTGTGAACCATGCAAATGTAATTTGACACCACAAAAAATGAGGTTATCGACCTTGGAGTACTTCAAACGTGTAATTTGATGCCGCAAAATGGGATCACATTGACCCAGTATGCCCTTGAGAGTGTAATTAGGCACCACAAAAGATAACGTAATTGAACTTCTATAACCTTTAACGAGTAATTTTGACATGACAAAAAATGGGTGCATTGTCCTC